ATGCTATAAAATAACCTAAGTCATAAAATAAACTTAAATACCTATAGGCTCCTCGATGGTGTTAAATATTTAAGTTTAATTCTTGTCCAAACATTAACTTGGAACAAAAATATAGGTAAGAGTTAAAAGATAGATCCTTAATGCTCAATCAAGATCACTATAAAATCGTTATTATCCAAAAATAAATTTACTAACTTAAAAGCTAAACTACTAATATACAAAAATCTTCTAAAGCCTATAATATGGACTTATGGGTTACAACTCTGAGGCTTAGCAACAAAAAAACCAACTTAAACAAAACTTAAAACAAAGTCTTTCAGAACATTACTCTCAGAAAAATTACTAACGCTCACCTCTTTGTTTCTAATTTAACCCTCCGCGAAGATAAAGATATCAAACAATCAAACCTGTTACAGCGGAAGCGGAATTAATCTACAATAAAACGGTTTTTTTTATCAAAATAGAAAATCATCCCAACCGACTAATATAGGAGTCACATACCTTCACACTTCCGGAAAATCCACAACGTAGATTCAAAAGAAAATGGTGTCGTGATCATTTAAATTAAAAATGTCTTTCTTCAATAGATAATATTTTATATAATATACGAATATACCAAGCTAACTGTCGTCTGTCACTAATGGTTGGATTATTATATAAATAGTTTATGTTATGTTTAGTATCTTATCTAATACGCTTATTGTATAGATTGAGTATTTGAATATGTACTGTTATAAAAAAAATCTATATAGGTACATAATATTATATCATGTCATCGTAAAAGCTTGATGTGAAGTATAATAAATAGAGAATAGAGCTAAGCTATACTAGTTAATCCTAGGATTACCATTTATAGGTACTCTGTACTCATAATTTTATTCGAATTTTAGCCTTAAACTATTAACATGTGATCATCCTTCTATATAGGTGTAARGATGGCCAACTGTAATAGAATTATTGTGATTGATCTTTGAGATTTTCCAATTTGTTACGATCGACAAAAAAAAATAGGTAAGTAAATAAACAAAAATATCTTTTATATACGTGTTAGTGTGTTACACTTCTTTTATTACTTTTATTTAAAATATAAACAAGTATTAATAACTATTATTTCAATATAATTGATTACAAATTATATTCCTGAGCTAAACAAAAAAACATACATAAAAAAAAAATGGAATCACATATTTGGGACCAGAGTGACACAGTGGTTACGCAGTTGATTGCGACTCACAGTTCACACTAGTCAATCGAACCGATTCATAGCAGAGGGCAAAAATTGCATGGTTTTACGGCTTWGCGCGATTATCAATTTGAGACAATTTCCTATGCTGTCGCCTGTCGTCGGATTGCTACATTCGTTTTTTTTCTCCGAATGTTTTTTTAAGCCTAGGTACATAACATTTTAATATTACATACTAAATTAAAACATTTTATGGTTATAAATTAAAAGTTATAATATAATAATTACTATATAATATATTATATAGCTACCTATACCTATTCTTATAGCGACAATTAGCTAGGTATGTATAATAATAATAATAGTTTAATATGCAATTATGTGCAGTGTTTAATAAATAATAAGTTTATAAATATTATATTTTATATTCGTATTTAAAGGGTGACAAGACACACATTTTTTTACTTTCAAATTTTACCTCCACACAATAAAATATAAATATACTTGAATACTTGAGCTTGAGTCTTGGTAGTAATGAGGTACCTAGACAATTATATTTATTTAGTGCTATTTAATTTTTATACTTGGACTTCTGTTATAATTGCGCATTTACTCCATGTAAACTGTAAAGGCCTTTTATACATAAACAGACTTTAAGAAAACAAATAATACATTTTTAAAGTCCCTGTTTGCTGTTTATACTGTGTAAAACGTTATTTGAAGTTATAAAMAAATGCTTGTCTAGTTAATAAAATCAATAAAGTAATAACATATCTGAAAACAGATCCAAATTATTTCCCATTCAGTTTGATTAAGATCTCTAATTTTAAGTTTTTGAATTTTATATTTAAAGTTAAATTTGATTTTAAGATTTTACAATTCCCGATATTTATAAATATTAAATTGACATTTATTTATAATAGATTAAACAGGTATATGAGTGAAAAGGGTGGAAAAGCAATCTAAGTAAAATAAAAATAAGAACAAATTCAAAAGTGCCTATTAGTGCCAAGAATCTAGGTAAGTCCTAGATCAATCAATAACCATGTAGGTCGTAGGTGACAGCTAGTGAAACCAAAAAAACTTCTAAAAGGTATTTCAGAGTTCAGATAGATACTTAAATATTTTAATGAATATTTTAATGAATACCTATATGTATATTCAACTAATTATTTAAATATTTGTCCAACAAGTATTTAAATACAATTAAAAAATATTCAGTGAATATTAAATATACATTAAAATATTTAATGTTAAATATATTTGGATTTTTTTGGTGAGATTCATTATTCTTAGGCCCAGGCACGTACACAGAATACAATTTCGGGATGGGGGGAGGTTTTTTACAATATAGCATTACAAATTTTAGAGCAACATAATAAAACAATATTTCTTCCTCTTTACCTACTCATTTTTTTTAATGAGACTTTTATTATGCTAAATATCAAAATTTTATGTAAGTCATTTGTTAATGTAATAATATTATTTTAATACCTAACCAAGTTGGAAATTGGGTACATAATACATACGTTATTTACATTGCTCGTTATAACATGTTTATGTTCTTATATTGCTAACTAATTATATCCCATTATCCCAATATGAGCTGTAACGAGTTTGTTAAGGTTTTATTACTATATGCATGAGCCATGAATTCCTGAGTCCTTAAAAACGAGCAGTTATTATCGGAGTCCAGAGGATTCACCAACATAATTATCGTCTATAAGCAATTCCGGTGTTTGGTCAACCTAGAACTCTAGGAGAGTATCATTAAGTGGACATGGTACATACTTCATCATGATACAATGAATATATTATTATTTATTTGAATATTTAATCTATAATGACTTGAGTTTGGCAAAAAATAAAAGRAGGAAGGAAAGTTGGGATACATAAGTGTAAAAAAAATGTGTACGTGTGTACTACATTTTTTATAGTAAAATATATATTA